TTATGTGCAGAGGATGAGAGTAAAGACTCTGAGCTGAAGAAAACTGGGTCTAAGTTCTGATAGATGACTTGAAAAAAAAATTCCTCATGAGGAGTTGCAGTTTCCTCATAAGTAAGATAGTCTATGTCTAAGGAAGGGTAGCTGGTTTAAAAAAAGGGAGGGTAGGGATCCCTGGGTGGCGCAGCGGTTTGGCGCCTGCCTTTGACCCAGGGCGCGATCCTGGAGACCCGGGATCGAATCCCACATCGGGCTCCTGGTGCATGGAGCCTGCTTCTCCCTCTGCCTGTGTCTCTGCCTCTCTCTCTCTGTGTGTGTGTGTGTGTGTGTGACTATCATAAATAAATAAATAAAAATTAAAAAAAAAGAAAAAAAGTGAGGGTAATACAAAGGGGGGGGAATTTATAAACAGAAAAACAAATGGAAATGCAAGATATTTTTATTTATTTTTACTTTTACCTCAGTCTTCAGGATCTCTCTTTTCTGGTACAAAGCCCCTGGAGTTTTGAGCAAATTCTCACACAGTAGCTTTATATTTATAAAGCATAGCTTGGTAATTCAATTATAAGGAAAGAATCCAGACTTGAAATCCAATTGTTAAAATTATCATTTTAATTCTCCTATTTAGAGCATTCTTAAATATTTCATGAGTTCTGCAATATTAAAAACTACTAAATAGTTCATTTAGTTCTTCTAATTAAAACAAAAGGTTCAAAGAGAACTGCATCAGTAACCACTATGATTAGGATGCTTTGGATAGTAATAAACCACATGCACCCTCCAGGTCCGAGTACTGGCCTTCACCGCAGTTCCGAAAATGCTTTCAGGGTTAGTGTTAGCATTGATAAAAGGGAATTTCAGATAACTGGTGGTGCAGTGTGGTGGCTAAACTTTCAGACTCTGACATCAAAGTGCAAATCCCAGCTCTGCTAATTACCCCCTGCATGTCCTTGAGCAAGTTCCTTCATGTCTTTCCATCTCAGTTCGCTCACCTATAAAATGGGTAGAGTGGAATAACATAACCTTGTCCATAAGGTTAGTGTGATATTCAAAGGTAATAGTACACGAACGGCCAAGTTAGAGCTCCATAAATGTTTGCTATTACTATGAGTTTTACAGACACCTAAATAATTGTTCTTGAAAGTTAAAATGGCAAGTCTTTTTTCATTGGTATCCAAAAACTGCCTAAATATTTCCTTCCACCTGAGGTCTTAGATGGTTTTGTTCTGATCCTCCTTTCAATGCCAGTTATGGATGCCTAAAAGAGAGCACTAGAGATGCTTCCTTTATTTATCAATGACCCTGACAAAGAGGTCTCTTTCAAAACTCACAGGACTGTCAGGCACTCATCTTTTATATTAGCTTTTTTCTCTTTTGAGTTACCTTTTTCTTGCCAAAGAGGTAACTTGTTATACTTGAGATCATTCAAACTAACTGTGTAGTAGATAAGGTCATGGCTCTTCCCAATGATTCTTACAAGAAGACAATTGGAAGTACAAACAAGGCTGGAGTCTACTTTTATTAAGCTGACACTTCAGGGAGAATGCTAAATGAACATCAAACCCTATTCACCTTTCCTGTTTCCCTCATTCCAGAAACCAAGTGACACCTTGCCCTGTCATGATAAGCTCCTCACTAGTTAGCCAAACACTGGCAAGTGAACACCAATATTAATGCTGCCAGGTTTAATAGTCAGTGTTTGTGCTGCAGTTAAAGATATTTCAATATTATAATTGAGTGACCCCTGCTCCTTTATCCAAAAGCTAAATTTATCCTAGTGACAAGACTTAATTTTCTGACATACTTGAGATTTGTGTCCAATGTTAGGTGAAGTCTAACTGAAACTATAAGACCTATGTCTAGATATATTAACCCCATCCTGTTACTTAGCTTAAACCTTTAAATGCATCGCTGAAAACTACTCTGCTAAACCATTCCTATCACTACTCTGTAATCTCTACAGTTTTTTCTTTCTTAATACAAACAGGATACCACAGTAGACTTTAAGATGCTATCTGATTCTAATAATATATAATTCTAAGTACATCTATCCATCCTAACTAGATATTCAGGCATAAATGCCACAAGAAATGAGAGAATGAAAAAGAAAGAAATGATAATGAATCCAATGCTTCAGAAATAAAAGGCAGCATAGGATGTTTCCATGAATTATCTGAAAAGGAAGATTAAAAAGAGCTCTGGCACCACTTAGTTCTCATTATAGATCAAGGACAAGGACTGTGACATCTTCAAGAGTTTTCTGAGTTCATAACTTATAGCTTCTCTGATAGTTGCTCATGATTGCTGTTGCAATGCCTATCAGCACCCTGTAGCAATTACTGCTAGAGCCCTTGAAAAGAAAAAGAACTGTGTGCTGGCTGATGGTATGCAATGATCTGGGACCTGGGACAGGATAAGTAGGAAATTGTATCTGTTCTGCTGTGAATTCCAGGGACAGAAGTTCTCACAGACCGTAGCAGATCTGTGGAAAGAGAAGCCAGTCTGCTTTCATTCTTTGACGAGTCCACTTTTAACCTGGCAAAACACTCCAGGTCTATAGGCAAACAGCTGAGTCCAGTAACAATGGGCATTTTGCAAGACAGTCCTCTGCTGGCCTCCCTTCACCTCTTGGTTCCTAACCGCATCTCCGTTCCCAACCCTCAGCCCTTCTCTCACTCTTCCTCAGCCTTGGCTTTCCAACCTCATTCATTAAATATCTTCTTTCCTCAACTAAATTCATCTCCCTCTTCTCCTGGTCATACAAGAAATACCTATCTTCTGAATCCCTGGAGACCAGAGAAGGACAGATAGAGAAAGGCTGATGAATTTCAGATCCTAGTCGTAGAAGCCAGAAAATAGCTACAAAGAGGACCGCTGATTTATCTGCTATTTCAACAGGAAAAACAAATTCAGATCAAATTGGGTGGTTTGTCTATGTAACATCTGTTAGGTAGTTTTTTCAATATCCACGACTGACCTTTAAAAACAATTATCTGGCTCTTCAACATCATACTGATATGGCCTTAGCATTTTAATTAAATGCAGGACTCTAGTGGTGCGCTGTCCAATAAGGAGGCCACAGGGAGGGGCACCCGGCTGGCTCAGTGATTGAGAGTCTGTCTTCAGCTCAGGTCATGATCCCAGAGTTCTGGGATCGAGTCCTGCATCAAGCTCCCCGCAGAGAGCCCACTTCTCGCTCTGCCTATGTCTCTGCCTCTCTCTGTGTCTCTCATGAATAAATAAATGAATAAAAGCTTTAAAAAAAAAAGGAGCCCACATGTAGCTATTAAGCATTTGAAATGTGGCTAATCCAAATTGAGGTGAGTCATAAGTATAAAATGTACAATCCATTTCAAAGAGTGCAAAAAAAAAAAGGAAAAAACAATGTAAAGTATTTCATGAATAATTTTTATATTGATTACACGATGAAATACTTTGAATATATGGAGTTAAATAAAATACATGAAGATTAATATTATTTCTTTTTACCTTTTTAAGCCTATTAAAAAAGTTAAAATTATTACATTTCCATTTGACAGTACTGCTCTGGAGCATACTGCCTGGTTTCATACAAGTTCTACTACCCATACTGAGTGTTCCCAAACAATTTCCTCTTCTGTGAAATGGAAATAATAATTCCTGCTTCTTAGGGTGCTTCTTTGTACTGCTGCATCATTAAAATCAATGCACATGAGCTGTCCCTTGGACCAGGGCCTGCCCTTGAAGGGCAGCATTTTTCAGCCTAGCCGATCCCCAAAGAGAAGCTCAACTGAGAGTCAAGCCACTCACTGATAATCTCAGCAGCTAGAGAAATGAATGCGTGCCTCTCTGGGCAGTACATCACGGCAACCGCAACGACTCCTGTTTGTACAATGGAGAGTATATGTTTAAAGCCCAGTTCTTTCTGAAAAGTAACTAGATAAAAAGTGAGCACACTTTTCTTTGTACCTGATAGAATGTACTTGATATGACAGGAAATATCTAATATATCTAGTAGCTGGATATAAACTAAGTGTTGAAATAAGACATTTGAAAGGCAAATAGCGATACTAGACAATACACATTAAATGCTTGGTGAATAATACAGACAATCCTTCAGAATAGGTAGAAATTATAAGGGTTTAGTAATCTGAAGGTTTATAAGATGGATATGCCAAGCAGGAGAAACAAAATGAGCAACATACACAGATATAAATCAAGGTGGCATGCTTTCAGGACACACACGTACCAGTATGATTGAAAAGAAGTTTCCTATAGGAAGACACAGGAGGAAAAACTAGAAACGTAAATAGGAGGACGACTTTAAACTGCCTCCTTCATAGATAGGAAAGCCACTTTAAGCTAGGGTTCTAGAGAGGTAGGGTGATAAGTGCACAGAAGTAATTTGAGAAGATGAATTTGGCCGACTATGTTAAAATACACTCTTTAACCTCCCTAGGACTGTGCTTTCTTTGCAAAACCATGGTGATCTAATTATTTTTACCCTATATTCTTATATGCTATTTTTCTAGCTTTATTCACAATTGATCCTTTAATGCACTGGAAGGTCCTCACCATAGGGCTTTGCATCAGAATATCACACATGAATAATAATCGGAAATATATATATATACTACTACTACCAGTTACTGTTGGGAAAGACAAACTAACAGATCTTATGTAGAAAGACTGCTGTTTTGTGATTCAGTGGTTATCAGACGCTTCTAAAGTTGCACTGAAATGTCCAGATATGACAAAAAGCATTAGGGAAGTGCTGTAGGGTCAATAAATGGTTAATAACATGAGAATAATATAGAAAAAATTCTCCTGGGGACCGATAAGGAGAGTGTAACTAAATGAAGCTATGCTGCCTATAGAAGTTGTTTAATCTCTATCTTCAGAGAATAAAAACACAAACTTTAATTATCAAAAAAGATGCTTTGCTTAAAATGTTACAAACCCACATTCTCTTTACACTATAATAGACATCTGTGTTCTTATGTGTTTGCCATTGGTTTCCTCAGACTCAGGTCAGTCCCAAAGAAGGGTGGCAAGTGTACAGTTCAGCACAGGATCCTGATGGACGATGCATATGCACAGTGGTTGCTCCAGAACAGAACCTGTGTTCCCGCGATGCCAAAAGCAGGCAGCTTCGCCAGCTTCTGGAAAAGGTAGGTACCCAGTTTTCTGCCCTCCTTCACCTTTTTTTAAAATTTTTTATAATAAATTTAATTTTTTTGGTGTTCAATTTGCCAACATACAGAATAACACCCAGTGCTCATCCCGTCAAGTGCCCCCCTCAGTGCCTGTCACCCATTCACCCCCACCCCCGACCTCCTCCCCTTCCACCACCCCTAGTTCGTTTCCCAGACTTAGGAGTCTTTATGTTCTGTCTCCCTTTCTGATATTTCCTACCCATTTCTTCTCCCTTCCCTTCTATTCCCTTTCACTCTTATTTATATTCCCCAAATGAATGAGAACATATAATGTTTGTCCTTCTCTGATTGACTTACTTCACTCAGCATAATACCCTCTAGTTCCACCCACATTGAAGCAAATGGTGGGTAGACATGGCCAACACGCACATGAGAAAACGCTCCGCATCACTTGCCATCTGGGAAATACAAATCAAAACCACAATGAGATACCACCTCACACCAGTGAGAATGGGGAAAATTAACAAGACAGGAAATAACACATGTTGGAGAGTTTGTGGAGTAAGGGGAACCCTCTTGCACTGTTGGTGGGAATGTGAACTGGTGCAGCTACTCTGGAAAACTCTGTGGAGGTTCCTCAAAGAGTTAAAAATAGATCTGCCCTACGACCCAGCAATTGCACTGCTGGGAACTTACCCCAAAGATACAGATGCAATGAAACGCCGGGACACTTGCACCCCGATGTTTCTAGCAGCAATGTCCACAAAAGCCAAACTGTGGAAGGAGCCTCAGTGTCCATCAAAAGATGAATGGATAAAGAAGATGTGGTCTATGTATACAGTGGAATATTCCTCAGCCATTAGAAATTACCTTTTTTTTTTTTTTTAAATCTACCATTCCTTGAAAGGGAAATGTGGGAGAGCAGGGAATGGTGAGGAAGGTCATTCCAATTTTTGTCCACCTTTCTCAAGTAAACTTGTTTTCTCTTCCTGAAAAAGAATACCTCACGCTTCCTGTTCTACTGTTTTATTTATATTACTTCTTACTTTTCCCAATCTTACCTTCTTAAGACTAACATACATCTTAATATCCAGCTGGTCTCTCCTTAAGAAAAAAAGAAAAAAGCAAGAAGTCCTATTCCCATGCCAGAAATTTATCCTCAACTCCCAAGATTACACTAGACTCTTTGAGCTCACACATTTGAATCCCATTAACAATCTTGCAAGGAAGTTAAAATAACAGAATGCAATATGCAAGCTATCTGAACAGATAATGAATAATTTCAAGTATTTATCATCATTCTCTAAGTCATTCCTTTGAACATTAAACTCTTCAGTTTCATTCAATAGCATTTTCTCCATATAATTTACTTAAGCCGGATCCATAACAATCAAACGCAGAATGTCCTTGATTTATTCTTTTTTGCAGATAAAAGTCAGCTCATGAAAGGTTATTTATGTTTAGTTTGAGGAGGAAAAAAAACAATGAATGGTTCTTTCAATCATTCTCATTCAGAATTTCACTGTGTTGGGCTCTGAATATAGTAGGACAGCTGGGTGGCCAGACTGATGGAAGGATGGCAACATGTTGGAATTTTAAATACCTTTAGGGATAATAAGATAGATTAGGTAGTCTGTGCTTTTAGGGGACACCATGCTCAACAATTCACTCTGTGCGTATCATTTTCATGATCATTCACACAATAATGGCAGTGAATAGGAACTTTTTACTGAAAATTAAGAGAAGCTAGAAAAATGAAAGCATCAAATTTGTAATACAGATGTGCCTACTTTATGTAATCTCAAGCCAGCAACAATAACTTCCACCGTCATATAATGAAAATAAATTTCCTCTGTGTACATTACTTAGAAGTCTATTGATGTGCTAAGATTTTAAGAAAGTTTTTTTTCTTGTTTTTATACAATGATTAGTCTTGTTTTTCCTCCCCCTCTCCTCAGAGATATCATCAATCTATTGGCTCTTTCTTTTAAAGTCTCTTTTTATAAGATCCCATCTTCTCTGCTCCTTCAATATCTGTCTCCCAGACAAGAGCAAATGTCATTTTCATTCAAGTTAATGACTCTAGCTAATGTGCCTCTCAGCTATTAGGAATCATGACATATGAACTGTGGTTTTTCTTGAGTATTGCTTACCAATCTTGATTTTCTTTATTTCTATGGGAAAAAATCCAAATACATGGTTTTAATATTATTTGGTTACTAGGGAAATTAATTACCTTGGTAAAAAGATTTATCTTTTAAATCCAATTTTTCTTTTCTCTTAAATTGTATTTCTTCCTAAATTATAGACTTTCTGCTCCTATATTTTTTTTATTTTTTATTTTTTTTACTTTTTTTAATTTTTTTTATTTATTTATGATAGTCACAGAGAGAGAGAGAGAGAGAGGCAGAGACACAGGCAGAGGGAGAAGCAGGCTCCATGCACCGGGAGCCTGACGTGGGATTCGATCCCGGGTCTCCAGGATCGCGCCCTGGGCCAAAGGCAGGCGCCAAGCCGCTGCGCCACCCAGGGATCCCTCTGCTCCTATATTCTTTCCTGTACAAAAGCATCTTTTTTCTATATCAATTTCAGTGAGAAACACATTCTTAGATATTATAACCTTATTTCTGCTACTGTTTCTCAGGATAGCATTACACACACACACCCCATATAGGTTCAGGTATTTCTTCGAAAACCAGTCCAAAAAATTCAAATAAAGTGTCAGGAAATAGATAATACCCTCTACAGGTCCAAAGTCAAACATATTCCAGAACTATGATAGAAACCAGGAATTAGTGTAGGATAAATAAGGCAAAAAAACACAATCCAGGGGGTTGGCTGAAAACAATCATTGAAATTTATAGACCATTCCATCTAATATCCAACATGTTTAATGTATTAAAGAAATTCCAGAAAATCACGCCTTAAAAAAATCATCATATTTAAGTAACAAAAAAGTCCACAAAATCTATTAACAAAACCTAGGTGTCTACAAGTTATGTTCATTAAATCTATTACTGGAGAGTATTATATGCCAAGAGAAATAGTAAATTATGTGAACTGTAGGCTGCTTTTTTTCCAAGTAGCCTACCCAATAACTATGAATTAGAGTGAAAATCTAAGTTAATTTGTATTTAAATTCAGAAAGACCTCAGATATTTATTTATGCAAGAACTAAAATAAGTGATTTTTTAAATTATCAATGAAGGGAGAGAATAAACTTGCCAGACTATGTAGAGAGGGTCTAAACACAGGGATACATATGGAAAACCTGTAGAATATGAGTGATAAACAGACTAAAAGAGGAACCACAGCAGATGGATCTCCTTCCTACAAGTGTAACTGCCGGAAGCCAATCTCAGGTATCATCAGGAAACTGGTGCTTAAGAAGTCTCTGTAACAGTGGGGAAACCAAACGTTCCTAGGTATAGCCAGCAAGAAAAGTAAAAGACAGTCCAGAGCCACATCCTTTCTGGCTAGACAGCTCCATCTCTATCCATTACCCAAATGTAGCTCTTCTACAATATAGATGGTCACAATCAAGTCTTAGCAAAAACTCTCTCTGTGCATTTTCCCACAACACAAATACAGTTGAAAATTAACCTAATAGGGTTAATCAGAGACAAAATAAAAAAGAAGCTATTTTTAACCGTATCCAGAATATCTCATTTGCCTATGTTTTCTAACTGTATGGACTCTGCCTAGGTACATGGAATTCCTAGGAAAATATTGGTCACGCCAATGATGGGCATCTTCAAAGACAAATGCCATATTCAAATGTGTAGATAGTTTTTTTAATACAAATGGCTTTTCTTTATTCATGCTTAACCATAATAGAGCTGAAAATTATTTTGAGAGCATTAAATTTACCCAAGATGTAGTTACCATCTCCATCTTTCATTGTTGTCTCAGTAATGTTGTGCCACACTAAAGATCCAAAAAAAAAAAAAAAATGAAGCCTTCTAAGTAAGAATGATAGTAAATTAAGAAATATTTGGGAGTGATGTAATGCTATAGTGTTACAGTGACAGAAGGAGGAACTTTCCTTAAAATATTAAAATGCTAATTACCTATTACTATTATTGGAAGCCTAAGATAATTTCCAAGAGATATTCATTGAGAAATTATTCTATGCCTGATTCTGTTTAAGGTCTTAGAAATAAAATATTTGGATAAGATGCAGCTTCAGATCTCACAGAGCTCACCGAGGGGCAGCCACTTGTATGCTCCTACCCAACATCCTCAGTACACAATTAGTTTTAATATAAGCTAGACTTTAATATTTCCTGAAAAGATAGCATTCATAAAAGGCAGGCCTATGGATGAAACAGCAGGAAAGGAAAAAAAAACAGGAAAATATGACCTTCTTTAATAAGTAGAAGTAGGCAAGCAAGGCAGCAGAATGCACTGCCTTTTTGGAATGTTCCAATTCTGAGGAATGTACCAACAATGGGCTCTTTATAGCTAGCTGGTCCACTGAGCTGTGTGACATACCTAATGACAGAAATTGAATAAATCACTCCTTCCTTATTTGTAACCCTCAATCGTTGCAATGAAGATAACTTTTTACTTATAAAAAATAATATGTTTATTTAAAAATAAATAGAATAATTCTTAAAATGTATGAAACAAAATAAAATTCACCTGAAATTCCACCATAATGTTTTTTGGTGATTTCATGTATTCATTTCATGGAAATAAAACATATAATTCTATGTAGATATATATATCTATATATATACAGATATATATATAGATATATATAGATAGATATTCTATTTAGCAGAGATTCCTTTCCATAATATTCATTACTTCTCACCCACATCATCCCCTGTATCAAAAAACTAACAACCTAATATGTATTCTTCTAATCCTTACATTCCTTTCTCCACCATGATTTTTTGTTCATATGCCCCATTTTTTATGCATATGTGAGAGACAGAGACACACATATGCACATAGAATTTGATTTAGAATAAAAGATCAAATTATATAAAAGCTGTTACATTCACTCTTCTCACTTGCTTTTCTCACGGAAATTCCTCCATGTTGAGCAAAATTTAATAAACACAGGGATCCTAAAAAATGCAGATTCTGACTTAGTAGGTCTGGGGCAGGCCCCAAGAATCTGCATTTTAACAGGCTCCCCAGTGATGCCAAACTTGCTGCTCTGTAGACAATAGTTTGAGTACCACGGTACAGAAACCTAGCTTACCCTCTAAAATAGTGTATTGGTATTCCATTCCCCAATCACTTAATAGCTCTCCAACTATTAGACATTTTCACTTTGTTTTTAGGGTTTTGCTGCCACAAAAATTAGAGAGCCTTTCTTTCCTCTTTTCTAGATTTTTTACAGGTCACCTGTTTCCTACTTCTACATAGCCTGGAGCCCAACGAACCTAAGAAGTACCCTCAGCTTAATCTGTGTTTACTATCTACCTACCAAACACTTAATACAGCTGCCGTTTTCTAGGTCTCTTAAACACTACGCTCTCCACGTATGGGGGTGGCCCAGCATTGCCACGGTGCATCTTGGTCAATTCAATCTCACCCCTGGGAGAACTTAAGATGTTGAAGTAACTGTACTGGAATGATTCCATTCTAATTCTATTGGACATGTCACTACCATACACAATTGTTAAACATCCCGATCTTGAAGAAATCAGAGTTAGTACTTATAGAAACAACTCATGTTAACATTTAACAGCTTGGGGCATCATAAGCTTACAAGGCCCTGGGATGAAATTTCTATTTTTAATATTTACTTTTCTGATTTATTAAATTCGTATTCATATTTATTTATCCCAAATCCTAGAATGACAATTTTATTATTTCCTGCTTAGGTTTAATTTTCCCTTGCTAAATTTTTGGAATATTTATCAGGAAGAATTGTCCTCCTGAAAATGTATCATGTGGGGATGCAAATATGGATTTGGCACTTCCAGTTCTTTATGTTACTGTCATTTTTGCTACTTCAGTAGTGATTGAATATACCTGTAAATAGACAATAATGTAGAGCCAATATTCTTGTTTAACAGGTTCAGAACATGTCCCAGTCTATCGAAGTCTTAAACCTGAGAACTCAGAGAGATTTCCAATATGTTCTAAAAATGGAAACCCAAATGAAAGGGCTGAAGGCCAAGTTTCGGCAGATTGAAGATGATCGGAAGACACTAATGACCAAGCATTTTCAAGTAGGTTTGACTTCTGCAATCTTGTCAATTCAAATCAGACACTGAGTGCAATGGACAGCCAGCATGGCAATCAGCTAGAAATAGCTGTGCATTGGCCCACATGAGCAAGGTTAAAGACTCACTGGGGATGTCAATCATCTCTCCGCTGGAACTGACCATTAGCTGGTAGGAATGCATAGAAGAAGCTGGTAGGAATAGGCTCTTTTTGCTATAAAAAGAGCCTAATCCTCCTAGAGCTTGGTGGAGTCTCTTGATAGATTTACAGGCAATTCAATATCTAAGACAAGAGGAAATCTCAAGGAAGATTAATAATTAAACTTATCAATGCTTTTTCCTCATGACTTTATGCCCTGCTGATATGAGGAGGCATAGAGAGAATATTTAGTATTAAAAGAGGCCATAATACCATTAATAGTAGCATATAAAAAGAAAAAGAAGGCCATTTCATAACTTGATACAAAGTCTTTTCTCAGGCTTCAAGTCGTTTTTGGCAATTATCCAGAAACACTGAAAATGGAGAAATAGTGCTTTTAAGTATGCTATGTGGACATTTAGCACCTATGTATGACAGTGCCATATTTTTTAAAATCTATGATAGTACCAGTTGAGCCTCATTAAAAAGAAATAACCTGCTTCCAAAGGGGTAGCACATAGTTTATAAAACACATTGTGGTTTTATAAACAATAGTTCTTTTCTTCCTCCCTTACTTAGTGAGATGCACTGCTGATGGTAAGGGAATGGACCCAAATTTAAACATCAGAAGTGCTTTTCACACATAATGGTGATGGGCACAGAGCTAGTCAGAGACATGTGACAGGAGGTCCACATAGCACACTTTGACCTGGCAGAGATATTCATGGTTTGTAATTTTCTTCAGTGGTGCTCAGGAGCCTGAGTAGGTACGTATAAGTTTTTACATTGAACCAGTTTTATTTTTGTTTATTTTTAAATATTTTATTTATTTATTCATGAGAGACAGAGAGAGAGAGAGGCAGAGACACAGGCAGAGGGAGAAGCAGGCTCCACGCAGGGAGCCCAATGCAGGACTCAATCCCAGGACTCCAGGATCATGACCTGAGCCAAAGGCAGGCACCAACCACTGAGCCACCCAGGGATTCCCCAGAACCAGTTTTAAATTTAACCAGAGAGGTACAACAGAAGGAAGGGAGGGTAAGAAAGTGGACGGTACTGACAAGAGATGAGACTCAAGTGATGAATTATGATGTTGAGGTTGAAGAGAAAAGTAAGCAAACCCAGGAGGTTAAGAAATTAGAATAAATTAGAGCAAGGCTTAGAAGATATCTTAAGTGTAAATATTATTGGGAATGAGAGAATGAGTGAAACGGATGAGTAGATAATTAATAGGGGGCGGGGAATGGTAAACAGTGAAAAGTAGAAGGCTGAGGAGGAAATGAGTTAACATTAACCAATACTTATTGAGCCTGTACCGTGTGCAAGGCAGTGTTGGCCCACTGCTGGATATATAATGATCTCTCTTCAATGAAAGACAACTAAAACAGGCATAGAAAATTGATGGTAAATAGAAGCAGAAACATTATTTAACAGCACAAAGGAAGAGTAATGTTATTTAGTTTCATTCAGAGAAGATCAGGGCAGGATTTTCAAGATTTGGCAATTTTCCAGAAAGCAGTTTTGGACTAGTCTTCCCAACACACGCACACAGACACACAGAATCACAGAAAAGTTTCAGAAAACCAGAGGATTCTCCAAGTGTTCAGGGTTAGGGTGTAGGCTGTAGAGGAGTAATGTGAGCCAGATGCTGAGGACGTCAACGAAGGAGGAAATGGTAAGCTGGCACTTACAGCACAGGGCCGGGGGCGGGGGGCAGGGGGTGCATGCCCAGAAAGGAAGGACAGAAGGAGAGGTGCTCAGGGTGTCTGGCGCAGAGTGAAAATTACTCAGGCTCAGATGGACAATGCAGAACTCTCTGATGCCAAGGGATAGTTTGAGGGTGCCAAGCCTGGAAGAGCTGGGAAGGCATGATGAAGCCTGTGTATTTGTGGGAACCCTTGGGAGAAGATCAGAAATAAACAGAGAGATAAAAAGCTGAGAGAAACTCAAGGAAACAATTTGCTTTTTCTGTAAGTTTGCTTAGCAGCAACCAGGCTGTGAGTAAGAAAACTTAATTTTCAGGCAGCACCATATGACATAATGACTATGATTTTACCAGTTCACATAATCCAAGTAGATACTTAAGTTATATGTTAAAATCTAAACAGCAATAATAATTTTCTGAAGAATTACACATATTCAACACATAGTTCTGGCAACTTTAAATATACATTAGCTAATTTAGTCCTCTCAACAATACTATAAAGTAGGCACTATACTTATTTCCATCATTCAGATAAAGAAACTGATGCAATTTGTTCAGCACTTATACCTAATATGCATCAGGACCACAATATCCAACTCGAGAGGTAAGCCTGCTAATACCAGTTCTACACTGCATCTCCAAATAGATTATAGGTCTCTGAAACGTAAGCATAATAATTACATGCTCAATATGTTTGTTGAATGTATGTATTCACTGAGCCTGAGCACGAGTCAGATTTGGCATGAAGCGCTGAGGTACCATATTTGATGCAAAGAACTGGAACATTCCAAAAGTAAATTTACATCAAAAATACTTTTTAATTGGAAGAAAACCCTACTCTGATACACCATTTTCGACTTATCAAAAATGCTAAGTAAGTTCTGTCTTCTGTATTTTTTAAGATGAAAATCTTATTCTAGTTATCAGTACACATATGTGCCATTCTACTTTAACCTTTTAAAAATTTGATGTGTATATTGGTTGAACTTCCCCTTGCTCTCTGACTGATGTCCAGAGTTTCAAAATTGATTACCAATAACCAAATTATGAATTTTTGAAGAGATCCAAAAATGTAATTACCTGTCTTTGTTGCTGTTTTGTTTCTTGTTTTTTGTTTTTTGGTTTTTTTTTTTTTAGTTCAGGGTAAAAAAAGTCACCAGAATTGTGACACTGAATTGCTTTCTTTTCAATATTCCCATAGTGTAACATAAAACTCTTCATTGTAACTATTGCTATAATATGCAGCAAATGCTACCAACAGAACTCTTCTTATTAAAATCATAATGAAGCAATTGTGTCTTCCTTTTGGGATGCCACAAGATGTTCAAACTAATAAGTTTATTTCCAAATGAGCCACCAAAATGGGTAAAGCTATGCAATTTCACCTTTTCACTGTGATATTTATGAATCGTTCTCATTATGAAGACTCTGTCCCCTCCCACACAACATGGACATATAGACAAAATAAAAAAATTCAGAGCTTACAGAGCAAGTGGAAATTTCCCCACAAGAAACATAAGCCCATATACCAGGGCAGCATTGGGAACTCCTGCTATTTTAACGCATTTATAGTAATAACATCTTCCAAATGTAATTTTAAAATGCAATTTTCAGCTCCTTAAATTAGTTAGTGTACAGCATGGTTTCTGACAGCACCTATGGATTATTCTCAAATGAACATAACAGTGACAGCTCTTTCCACAAATGGGATCATCTGTAAAAAACTCACAACTGACTCACATTCATGAAATATTTTCACTGACCACTACGACCAAATTAAAGGCAAAGAAGAAAAGGTGACACAACCTCGAAATTGAAAGTGAAACTGCAGGTGAGGTTCAGTCTCATGATGCTAGAGATAAGAGACACTGTGTTGGCAAAATATGCTTCTTGTTCTCCAGATAAAAAACAACTCTGCAGTTTCAAACAAATCGGTACAACTAGTTCATTTGTTCCATAAACTGTGAGTACCTTGGTCCCTGAAAGAGTTAAAAGAGTTAATTCACTACATGGGTAAGCAACTCTGCCTTACTTAAAGAGCTCTAAATTATCTATGCTAAGGCAAATGGAATCAGAATGTGGGTAATAATTCAAAATGGTAAACAGCAACAGGCATTTCTCTGAGCTTTGAGGAGCTTTGCATGATTTATTATGCTTGCTGAACTTACCTTCCTAATGATGTTGTGTTAAGATGGATGTTAGAAAGAATGAGGAATGCCTGAGCATAATGGAAGGGACAGAGTGGTAGGAAGCCACAGTTGGAACAATTGAAGTGTTACAGAAAAGCTGTTCCAGGATTCAAAATTTCTTTTAAGTGTACCCCCATAACTTAGATAGTCAGGGGGTAATAGAGTTAACAGACATGAGATATTTGACCTATTTCTAGTAATTCACAATAAGAAGATGGCTTCTGATGATATTGCCTAAATAATGCATTGTTCACTTTTTAAAATGCTACCAGAAAGTGAAATGATACTTTTACCTTTAATTGCTAGCATAAGAAGTCTTTATAATTACGATAAGGATCAATTGTTTTATTGAAAAGCACCTAATCATAATTTAAAGAGAGGTTCTTATATTGAGATAAATGGATTTACTACTAATGATCATGTAGCCACTTACATTCTCACAAAGTACCTAATTTCAACAAAAAGTCAGAAAGATTTTTGATATACAAGTATTGAATCAATATGTTGTAAACCTGAAACTAATATAATGTTATATCCTGATTATACATTAATAAAGCTTGTCTTTTAATTTTCGGAAAAAAGGAATTTTGAGTCTGTTTTAATAAGCTCCTTTAGGTATCGTATTAAAAAGAACATAGCTGCTTGATCTGTTTAAATGACTTTCAGGAACAATTGGCTGCTTTTCACAGGAGTTGAAAGAGAAGATGGATGAACTCCTGCCCTTGATCCCCGTGCTGGAACAGTACAAAACAGATGCCAAGTTAATCACCCAGTTCAAGGAGGAAATCCGGAATCTGTCTGCCGTCCTCACCGGGATTCAAGAGGAAATTGGAGCCTATGACTATGAAGAACTGCATCAAAGAGTGCTTAGCCTAGAAACCAGACTTCGTGATTGCATGAAAAAGCTGAGTAAGTAGAACAATTTCATTTAAGTTGTATTTTTAAGTGGTTTCAATGAAAACTGCATTCTTAACATTTTGCAGATAGTCATAAATATCTAATTATAGAGCAACCAATGCCTGCTTTCTAAGTATTCCATACGCCTTAAGCACACTGTGTAACCAGTGTTATTTGATTAACAGTTGCCTAATTTTCAGAGCATGCTATTATCATTTGATGGCTTGAAATAATACAGACAATTCTACTGGCTACACTAATGGCGGTAAGTTACTACAGACAAATAATATGTAATCGTCAATCATTATTTGTCTAGAAGGGGAGAAGGGAGAGGCATTTTTGGTAGTGAAGAAAGTTAGAGGTTGGGAAAAAGGTAGTTACCTTGGGACCAAATATGAAACAGCAGTGATTAAATCAAACAGAAACAATTCCTCTACTATAGAGAATTGCCATCAGCTAGTTGTTCTGATCCACCCAAGAAATAAAAAGGAGGCACCTATATAAAAATATATATTCACTACTTTGCAAGGGGTCAAGCATAGGATATGGGATATGGATTCCAGTTCAGGACTCCTGAAATGTGTGGTTCAACCTGGTCTGAGTTTCCGAACTCTTCCACTTCATCCACGAGATAATTATTCAGCTGAAATCATCATGACACTAGTCTGTAATTTCATGCAAAATAAATATGTGGTCATAAATTAAATAAGGGGGTGTTGTAAGTCCATTTAGGAACAGTATTTTAGTTGTTGACATGAAGTGATATACCAGAGAGGTCAAGTCAATAACCATAGAAAAGTATTCCCCCAAGGGAAAGAAACAAATTTCTAGAATAGAAAATAAACTAAAAAGAGAAAAAAAGAATTCAGAAAATATAATTTCTAGTAAAGACAATTTCAGAGAATGAATGTAAACACTTAGAATTTGAATGGCTGATGAAAAATTGAAAGACTATTTTACGAATGCAATCCAAATAAAAAAAGAGAATGAATTTACAGAGAGTTGCATGCAGTACAGTTCAAAACAATGTGGGGAATCACCACATCAGAGGGCCTACTTTGGTCAACCCAGGATTTCCAAGAGATTTTGACAAAATTACTTGGAAGGCAATTAACATAAACCCTAAAGCTAAACTCTCGTACAGAAATCCTCAGTTATTCCTCATCCGTCAAGGCCTGTACTTTTTGATCTATAACTAGTCTCCTAACAATCACTACTCCAGTAGATTCTATGACTCCTCTTCTTACACTTTTCACTCATTGTCCACATTATTGCCTAGGGATTTTTTGGAAGCATGAATCTGAAATTTGCACTGCTGAAAATCTCCTAGGACTCCCTTATATCCTAGGATATAGTCCCCAGCTTATGAGGCCCTCCATAAGTGGCCCTCCCTACTTCTCCCATCTCAGGTCCTGCCACTCCTTCCCTCACCTGCTACGTCCCTGTCTTGTGTGCTCTATGCTTTCTTATCACAGGGTAGTGTTGAGATACTTGTCCCTTTTCCTGCAACACTCTTTCCTGTTTATCCTTTCTGTGTCAACACATGTTCACTTGACATGTGAGACAAATCCCCATTCATCTTTCAGGTCTCAGTTTACATGTCATGTCTTGACAAAATCCTTCATTGCTCTCCCTGTATATACTATGTGTCCCTGCTAGGTGCTCCCAAATCCTGATATTTCACCAATGACTGGACTTTTCATGTTTCATTATCATTGCATGTGTAACTGGATAGCTATCTTCTAGATTTTTGTTCCATGAGAACAAGAACAATGTCTATGATACTCCCTTTAAAACTTGTATCCCCCCAATGCCTAGAAAAGTGCCTGACAAAGGAAAGTTAATATTTGCTGAATAAATTAATTCTATAATGACTCATATAGTAACAATTTCCAACTTTCAATCAAGTAAATATTAGCTATTTCAAGACATTGAATAAATTGAAGAAAAAAAAAAGCTCTCTTCACCACATATTTGAGTCAGGGGGCATAGGACTGACTGAGACTAAGGAAAGAAGGAGTTATTTATCTGATATACCACCTTATACACTGTTTTGTTAATAATTAATGTTATAGAGTTTATTGCTAATAGAGAAAAGGTAAATATTACTGACATAAGTTAATTCTGTTATATTTTATGTTTAAATCAAGAAATACCTTTAGTTTGATGTGCATATTAATTACATAGCTTGCCAGATGATGTCTCCACCAAACCAGATGAGAAGAACATCTCAGTCCAAGAATTGAGTGCCCTCAATATCTAAGTTCCTTTGGGGGTTGCAAAGAAATATCCAAATGCATTTTTATTATCTCATAAAATATTTGACTACAGATTTTCTGTCAATGACAACACATAGGATTGGTCTGTGTAGGACTTTGACTTACTTTGAAGAGGTCTGTTTGTTACAGATGAATCACTCTAGATTCTGAGAATCGATTCATTTGGTTGTTTCTAGCATCTTATGATAAACCCAAGCCATAAGCTTTGTACACCGAGACCAGATATCTGCTAAGTACACACACTCTACTAAAGGAAGAAAAGGCAATAGGATAGTTCTAGCTAGTAAACACTTTGAAACTTAAAGTGTGCCAGTCAGGTTTTTGAGAGATTGGCATTGAAAATTCTTGGAATTGGGATCCCTGGGTGGCGCAGCGGTTTGGCGCCTGCCTTTGGCCCAGGGCGCGATCCTGGAGACCCGGGATCGAATCCCACGTCGGGCTCCCGGTGCATGGAGCCTGCTTCTCCCTCTGCCTATGTCTCTGCCTTGTCTCTGCCTCTCTCTCTCTCTGTATGACTATCATAAATAAATAATTAAAAAAAAGAAAAAAAAAAGAAAATTCTTGGAATTTACTTAATTTTAAAAATGTCTTGCACTTCTAACATATATTCTGAGTTGATTCAACTAGAAATGTTAGGAAATGAAATCTACACTCCTGGGCAGCCTACGTGGCTCAGTGGTTTACTGCCGCTTTCAGCCCAGGGTGTGATCGAGTCCCATGTCGGGTCCCTGCACGGAGCCTGCTTCTCCCTCTGCCTGTCTGTCTGTCTCTCTCTCTCTCTCCCATAAATACATAAATAAAATCTTAAAAAAAAAAAAAGAAATCTACATTCCTTTCAGGTCTTTCATAATCCCGTGTAGTTTTTTTTCAGTCCACATATAACTCTCCCACACACAGCCTCCTCCAATATTGAAAATGATATTTGGGACAAAGGGGATTAATTTAAGTGGACATAAATTCATCCTATTTCTTCCTACTGAACCATGGATATTTCCATGGTATCCTTAGGCCTTAGGACTGTGATCCACAATATTTATATATATATATATATATATATATATATATATATATATATATATATATATTATATATATATATATATTATTTATTTTAACATCAAAGGCTCATTTTATTAATTTGCCCTCATAGGCAGCAAAGTTTGAAAGAATGTGACTGTCAAATTAAGTACGTTAATTAGTTAATATTTAATTTTATTTTAACTAATCAAAAACAAAACCTAGCTACCAATGCAAATATCAAACAGGAATAAAATAGTGTTCAACTTTCTTATTTAATGAGATGGTTGCTATTTGAGTTAATTGATATGACCTTACAAGAAACTGGAAATAATTCTCACACACTATAAACTCTTTTCTAGATTATTAGCAGCTCTGAGGTCCCTATTTACTTAGAAGAGAGGCCAGTGCCACAATGACTCTAACTTATTTATGCTTCTTTTTGTCCCAAGAACTGGGTACTTTTCTCCATCACAACAGATCTACAGAACAAGCAGAACTACTTACTGAGAGTCTCCTAAGCAGAAAGTATACTTATCAACGGAATCACAACCATTAATTACAATGTAAAGAACACATCCAGGTAGAGACAGACAGACCTAATGACATAAGGTATGAAGTCACATGGTTCCTGAAAAAATAAATAACAGAATCTTCATATTATCCTCTTAAAAATGACTCCAGTTTGAAAAGAAGTATCTGATACATATATTTGCCAAGAAAACACAAACACATGATTGAGAGTGGTGCCTTAAGTTAATAGTTTAACACTACTGGGATCCCTAGGTGGCTCAGCGGTTTAGCGCCTGCCTTTGGCCCAGGGCGCGATCCTGGAGTCTCAGGATCGAGTCCCACATCGGGCTCCCGGCATAGAGCCTGCCTCTCCCTCCTCCTGTGTCTCTGCCTCTCTCTCTCTCTCTCTCTCTCTCTCTCTCTCTATGTCTATCATAAATAAATAAATCTTTACAAAAAATAGTTTAACACTACTTAGTACTTATACTTCCTGGGACTCTCAATAAAAATTATATGAAATTATCTCTGGGAACCCTTTTAAGTTTATGCCTACTATTAACTGATAAGTAAATGCCCAATTATCAAAATATCAGAACACATGGACTCAGAAAACAGATGTTAATCAACAGGAGAACCATTAATGACTTGAAGAGAAAAAAAAAATCTGGGGTTCAGTGTTCTAAAAGCATCTAAAGCATCTAAAATCCAGTTGCTCTGCTGTTTGGATCTATAGTGGGACATTGGATAAACATGGTATCCTCAATATAGTAACAGGAACAAGAAGGCTCATCCATCAGTGGCATCCTTGCTCTCAACACACAAAACCAATTAGCAGAGGGCAGAAATGGATTGGGGCAAGAGAATAAAATTGTAACAATGATGAATGCATCTCCACTCACCTTTTCAGTGAATTTGCTTTTAGGGAAAATGTCACACTATATATCACATAAATTTTAAGATACTAAAAAACAAACTAGGCTCATTGCCTGCAAGGTCTAAGTTACTCCCAAACAGTGAATAAGGCAGTTAAGGAAATCACAGGCCATTAACAGCACTAGAGCACAACTCCACTTATTTCTACTAGAGAATTAAAGTTTTAGAGAAAATAGAAATTAGGGGGAAAGAAAAAAAAAAAAAAGCTTCCATAGTAATGCACCCTAGTGGCCTGAATGAGACACAGTAATGCTCTTTCCTAACTGCTTAA